ACTTTGGATGACACCAAAGTGAATTGGGGAGCACTCACGATGGAGTTGATGGTGGATGGAAGGAAGGTAGTGATTAAGGGGGATGCGGGGCTTTCCAAATCCATGGTTTCTCTTAAAACGATGGTGAGAGATATCTAGTTGGCAGGCGAAGGGTATTGGGTGGAGTTGCACAGTTTAGAGGGAGCAAGATTGGAGGAGGGAGGAGACATACCCCTCCCCATTCAGCCGTTGATTCAACAGTTCCGAGAGGTGTGCCACCTCAAGGATTGCCACCGCGGATGGAGCAGGAGCATGCCATTGTGTTGAAAGAGGGAGTGTCGCCCATCAGTGTCCGACCTTATCGCTACCCTCAGTTCCAGAAGGATGAAATAGAAATGTTGATTAGAGAGATGCTTGAGGCCGAGATCATCAGACCCAGCATCAGCCCCTTTTCTAGCCCTGTTCTGTTGGTGAAAACGAAGGATGGCAGCTGGCGCTTTTATGTGGACTACAAAGCACTCAACAAGGAAACTGTACCTGACAAATTTCCTATACCAGTCATTGACGAACTGCTAGATGAATTGAGTGGGACCGTGATCTTCAGCAAAATAGACTTGATATTGGGTTACCAATATATCTGAATAAAGGAGGATGTACCCAAAATAGCCTTCAGAACTCGTGAAGGACATTATGAGTTCCTGGTGATGTCATTTAGCCTCACCAATGCTCCAGCTACTTTTCAGGCCCTTATGAATAAGGTTTTCAAATCTTATCTCAAACGATTTGTATTGGTATTCTTTGACGACATCCTGATCTACAACATGACAGAAGAGGAGCACTGGAGCATTTGAAGAGGGTGTTAGAGGTACTGCAGGAGCTCCAGCTGAGGGCTACTTTGAAGAAATGCTGCTTTGCACAAGCCAGTGTAGAGTACTTGGGCCATGTGGTGTCAAAAGAGGAAGTTGCAGCAGATCAGTCCAAAATTGATGCAATGATAAGGTGGCCAACACCGAAAAATCTAAAGGAATTGAGGGGATTCCTAAGAATGACAGGTTACTACAGGAGGTTTGTGAAAGGGTACAGCTCCATAGCATGGCCATTCATTGTACAGTTGAAGGACGGGTTCCTATGAGGGGAGGCGGCCACATCAGCATTTGAGAGCTTGAAGAAGACGATGACTACAGTGCCGGTCCTAGCCTTGTCAGATTTCACTCAGACCTTCATTGTGGGGACAGATGCTTCCGGGTACGGGTTAGGTGCAATACTGATGCAGAGTCGTAGACCCATTGCCTATTTCAGCTAGGTATTGACTGCTAGAGCCCGACTGAAATCAGTATACGAAAGAGAATTAATGGTCATCGTCTTGGCCATCCAGAAGTGGCGGCCCTACCTGCTTGGGAGATATTTCATTGTCAGGACAGATTAGCGAAGCGTGAAATACCTGCTGGAACAGCGGATGGTGACGAAAGAGCATCAAAGGTAGTTGTCCAAGTTGCTAGGGTACAATTTTAAGATTCAGTATAGACCAGGGGTGGAGAACAAGGCGGTGGACGCTTTGTCCAGATGTATAGGGGAGCTGCAGATGGTGGCACTATCGGTTTCTTTGATGCTTGATTGGGTGGCTATCAGGGAAGAAAGTGCTAGAGATGAAGAATTGGGAAGGATCAAGTCAGATTTGCTGAAAGAGGAGGGTACTCATTAGAGGGAGACAGACTGTTGTACCAAGGAAGATTTGTGAAGCCCCATACCTCGATCCACATCTCAAATTTACTCCAGGAATTTCATGGAAGTGCAGTTGGGGGCCATTCAGGAGTGCAGAAGACCTACAAGAGACTAGCGGCCGAGCTTTACTGGAAGGGAATACATAGAGATGTAGAGGAGATGGTGGCAAGGTGTGAGAACTGTCAGATGAACAAATATTTGACTATGTCACCATGGGGACTACTACAGCCGTTGGCACTACCAGGACGAGTATGAGAGGAGATATCCATGAATTTCATAGATGGGCTGCCCCAGTTCATAAGGCTTCACAGTGATCTTGGTGGTGGTGGATAGATTGAGCAAGTATGTTCATTTCATCCCTCTCTGACATCCTTACCCCGCGGTGACAGTGGCTTCAACTTTCATTAAAGAGGTGGTTAGATTGCATGGCGTACTAGAGGCGATCGTGTCTGACAGAGATAAGGTGTTCCTCATCCATTCTTTGAGAGAATTGTTCAGGTTACAGAGGACAGTTCTGAAGAGGAGCACCACTTACCACCAACAAACAAATGGACAAACGGAGGTGGTCAATAGGAGCGTGGAGACCTATACTTGAGATGTTTTTTGTCGGAGACAACCAAGCTTTGGGCCAAGTGGCTGTCTTGGGCGGAGCACTGGTACAACACCTCTTTTCACTCGGCTGCACAGATGACTCCATTCAAGGTGTTGTATGGAAGGGACCCCCCTCACTTGGTGCACTTTGAGAATAGCAGTACTCCAATTTATTCAGTGGAGCAGTACTTAGAGGAGAGGGATCGAGTGCTAGATGAGTTGAAGAGGCATTTACTGAGAGCTCAGCAAATTATGAAGAAACAAGCGAATGAGTATAGGAAGGACATCCAGTTTGAAGTAGGAGAGAATGTGTTTTTGAAGTTCCGACCATATAGGCAAAAGACAGTTGCTAACAGGAGGAATAAAAAGTAGGCTTCAAGGTACTATGGACCTTATGAAGTGCTGGAGAAGATTGTGGCAGTGGCATATTGACTGAAATTACCACCATCGGCGATGATACACCGAGTTTTCATGTCTCGCAATTGAGGAAGGCCATTGGTGACTACACTGTCAACCCCGAGCTACCTGCGACACTCACTGAGGATTTAGAAGTGGTTCTGGAACCCTTAGAGCTGATGGGAGTTCGCTAGAAAGAAGACGGAACTAAGGAAGTGTTGATCCAGTGGAAGAATCTACCAGACTACGATGCCATATGTGAGCCATACGAGAGGACGAAATATTCATTTCCAGATTTTCATCTTGAGGACAAGGTGATTCTTTGGGAGGGCGGTATTGTTACGCCGGTTCACATTGAGTCGGTTCAAGGCACCGGCTCAATTTCATTACAGGAGGCGGAACAGAGCCGCCTCCTCTCTGTTTCCGCCAAACAAGGTGGGGCCCGCCATCTTTGTGATGTTCAAAATTGAATAAAGGGGGAGAGGCTAGTGTTTTGGGAGGGAAATCAGTTTAGGAAAGTGTTTGTATTAAAGTGCATGAGGGGATTTAAGGAGAGGTTATGTTTTGATTGATTGAGAATTAGGATTTCTTGGCGCTTGGGCTCTAGACTCTCTTGTCTAGAGATTTGGGAGAGATGATCCTTCTCTCGAATTGGGGATCACTTGTATCTTGCTTTCGTGTGTGTTGTGCTTTGTTTCGTTTATTGCAAACTATCGTTTAAGGGCTAATTTAGCCCAGATTTTGTTATCTTCTTGTTGTTTTCTTCCAATTTGTGATCGTTTTGCTTGCGGACTCAAGTATTCCCTTAGGGTTACTAGCGAACTCAAGTATTTCCTATTAGATTTATATATATTAATGTTGTATCCGCGTCGTACCCATATCCTATATTTTTAAGAATTGCAGTGTCCCGTATCCGTATCGGTGCAACATAGGCTAGCATGGTGATAAAAACATAAGCTCTGAAACCAATTTGATGCAGAAAATTTTGGGCTTACATTTCCTAATACAACAAAAATAATGTAAATGGAAATCATATAAAGAAAATTAGATTCTCAAAATAAAATACCACTAAATATGAAAAACTCACCTTCATTTAGTGCAAACTAAAAAATATAAGAATTGAAAGCAAAATGACAATGCAATAATCATATAAATCCAAGAAAATCAACAAAAAAATATTCAAACATGTAAAATAAGCAACAATTGAAATTTTTCTGCTGCAACCAAAATTCTAATTGTATCAAATTTTAAAAAAACAAGCAAAAAGTAGTAAGACAATAGAAATATATTTAGAAAACTTCGGATAAAGGAAAGAATACATCAAAATAAAAGAAAATTTGGGCTTTGCGCCAATACAACGAGATAATTTCTCCCATTATTAAGTAGTCATACATGTACTGCACTCGAAAGAATTATTAAATGTGCACAGATTGAACATTAAAATAAAGTATTTTTATTCAATAAAAAATATGAATAAATTACATGCCTCAAGAATTTATTTATCGAATTAATGTGGTTCCTAGGGTTGCAAAATTCACAAAGATAAACTTAAAATCAAATTTTATGAATAAGAAGGTGACAAAAAGGAGTTTGAATAGCCGGTAGAACCCGACACCAAAAATAAAAACAAAAAATTTCTAGGAGGCAACAATAGTCTCGAAGAAAATAACATAATAAGGAATTGCTATAGTTCCAGCAAGAAATGCACAATAGAGAAGTGGATAAAATCCCGAAGATGAAATAGCAACAGAGAAGCAGCTACAATACTGATCAGATAAAGCAACATAAAAAGCCACAAACCCGTATGAATAAAACAATAGTAATGACTCTACAGTCCTTCATAAAGATAACCTAATAACACAGTTAATCATAGAAACAAAAAGGAGGGGAAAAAAAGTCAAATTTCAAATCAATATAATTCATGATAAGGGCGATGCAAAACATTTTAAATAAGATGCACATCACAACAGAATGATATTTATTAAAAGATAGTCAAAAATTCATAAAGCCAAAGATGAATTAATAGTAATCAAAACAAGGCAGAAGAAGCAAACATGCAGCTTGCAGCAAAGCAAGTTCTGCAAACATTTTTTTTATTAAGTCTTCATTAACTAATACATGATTTAATTTATTCATGTTAAAATAGAAATGTTAATTGAAAGTGATTTTGAGGTTACAAAGAGTCAAAAATCTGTAGGTAAAACAGGTTAGTCAACAATAGTCCTCAACATTGAGAATCAAACATTCTATTAAAAAATTAACTACTTTTATTAGAAAAATAATTTGACTAAATATAACCTGGTTTAACATACCAGGCTCTTCCATAGGATTCAATGTATCTAAATTTGTATCATAATCATCATGCGATAACGTTGCTACTGAGTGCGGCAGAACTTGTTCCTCCTCAAGGAGGAGAAAAATATCATTCAGAACAAAATATCCCTTATCTTGCGGAGCAAGAAAGAAGGTCTCAACAAACTTCCTCCTGCAAATAAAATCTTTTACTTGCACGAGACCTGTCACCATCACCAAAACTCCTCCATCCAAAGATTCTAGCGAATTAGCAGTTTTGACTTCAATCTCAGTGAAATTCAGACTGATAATCAGATTATGAATTTCCTGCGAAATTATAAAGTTATATCAAATAACAAAAGAAACCTCAACGAAATACATATCATATCACATAAAATCCAACAAAATCCTAGAGTAGAATTGCAAATAAAAAATACTTCACAGCAATATTGTCCAGAGGACAAGAATTCACATGCTACAAATTGTCAAAGAGCAATTACAATTAAGTCATCACAACTACAATCTCAGGTGTATCAAATTTAAACACGATCGGAAACACTAGCAAGCCAATAACTAAATATTTAGAAGAAAATAGATAAAGAAAGTATTCAACAAAAATGAAATCCAGGCCTCGCTTCGTACAAGGAGATGAAATTCCTAGGAATTAGGTAGCCGTATTTGTACCACACTCAAAGAAATCTAACATCCAACTTGTACCCATACTGATCGAAGTTGTTCAAATGCATGCAACAAACTATCTCTTTATAAACTTTTCTCATTAGGGCAGTAGATATGGTTTAAATAAAATTAGCATAATTTGATACAAAATCCCCAAATTTTAAGTCACCATTCGCATAGTTAACAGTAAGATATTCAAAGCTCTTGATCTAAAGCCTTCAAATTTCTAATATTCCAGGTGAAAATAGTCACGAATAATGACTTTTCATCCTAATCCATAATTAAGCACGCAAATCACTAGAAACAAACTGACATAAAACCACCACCCCTAGCAAAAAGCAATAAAAGCCAACAAAACCACCAGCTTTGTCAGGTTATGCTAAAATACCATCATAGCTCAAAAACCAACCCATCTTTATAATGTGTATATTTCAAGAACCACAAGAACCGAGAAATATGAAATTGACCTAAAACAAGGAGTAACTACAATTTTCAATTTGAGAGCAACCACAATCAAACTAACCCAAATTAATGCCTAACCATACAATTTAACATAATTAGAAATCTACTTAACGGAAAACACATGTTCTCATAAGTGTATTCATGATAGGCAAGTTCATAAAACCTAAAATTAAAATATTATAAAATGAGATAAATTTACAATAGATTTGCTCAAGGTAGTTATCCAATCAGCATTTCCAATGCATATGAACGCACAAATCTCCCTCCAATATGTTTGACATATACAAATTCAACTCCGATAAATTTAGCATTTGTGATCAAGCTAGATTTTGCATTTGCTGCAAATATATATGAGGCGTCACAAATAGGTCTATCACGTCAATAAACAAGAAATCTCTACAATCTGTCATCAAAAGTGGACACAATCTCATCATCCATAATAACTTCAAAATCAAGTTGTATAGAATTATATGACAAGGTTTTGGATGTGAATTCATGAGATGGAACAAGAGAAGAATTCATCTATTAAACAACAAGTTATAAAATATGGTCAAATCAAATATATTGAAAACTAAATTAATATTGATATTCCTTAAAATTTCCAACTTGTAGGCATTAGCTCCAGTGCACTATATAAGTTTCAATGACCTTGTCTATCGTATTTAATTTCTTAAACATTCTTGAAGGAAGCTTGTTTAAAATTTAGAGGTACATTATTACAATATTAAAATCCACATATCTCATGTTCACATTAATAAAAACTTATAATAGTCATAGTTAGTAGCCTCACATAATACATGAATAAGTTTTTGAATGCTAGTGCAGTTGTATACCAATACTTAACAGGAAATTCAATAAAATCCACAAACTGTTGGGACAATCTCAAATGAACTCATGCCAATAAACTTATTGGCAAATGAATTATATGCAAACTCAATAAGCCACATGCAATATCAAAACCCACCCAGATGCAAGGTCTTTTAACAAAAAAACATAACTAATATTCCAAATTTCCATTAACTATTCAGTTTGCCCATCAGTTTATGAATAATGAGTCAAAAATCTAAATTGTGTTCTTATTTTCTTTCAAAGGTTTTCCGTAAAGAACTCAAGCATTTCTTCATCCCAATCAAAAACAATTAATTTAGGCAACACATTTCATTTAAGCACCTTGTTCAATAAATTCTAGAAAAGTGACATGCATTAGGAGTTTTATCACATACTATCACATGAGCTTTTTTTGAAAAATGATCTTCCATTAAAAAAACTAAAATCATGGTGTTATATAAAAAAATTGTCAAATCATGAAAACTATGAATATCATGTATATTAGTACACTTATGACAATCATTAATGGCTTCAAATTACAGAACCAACAAGCAATCCATCCAAGCTAGCACAAATCCTAAGAAGAATTCAAATGAGGGTCACAAAATAACATATTTTTCATATTCAAATATAATTTATCAGTCTGAAAAACCTCCAATATTGTCCTAAAACATGTGAAATGTCATTTTGAATTGAGTTATAAACTAAATATAATTTAAGTAAATAATAAAAACATTCCAAAATATGATTCATTATTCTCATAGAAGTAGTTAGTGCATTTGTTAATACAAAAGGCTCGCTAACCATTCATATAATTCATATTTTATCTTGAACAAAATTTTCAGTCATCACACTCCCTCATTCTAACTTGATGATAGTTACTTCTCAAATCAATCTAAGAAAAAAATAATAACACAATTCATCAATTATAACATATCATCCAAATGAGATATGGGAAGCTTATATTAAATGATATCTTTATTGATAGCTCTACCATCGGCATGCACATGCCAATTTTTGTCTTTCTAAGCTGTTAACAAAGAATGGGCAGCAAATGACTCGTGCTATCTCTAATAATCCTTAAAGTAAATCACCTACATGTCTCTTAAACTCAATATGTTCAACTAGATTCATTACATAATGAGACAAATTAATGATCCATGAACTAGATTAATCGCATGTTGTATATCCCTAAAAAGCTATAATTCATTAGGAAGGCCATCATGGCAAATAGTTTGAAAATCGACCAACAATTTTAACATCATCAGTCAAAGTCAAAATCTCAAGCACAAAATAACTGAACTCAATTGGTACTAAAATAGATAACGCCCTATTAACTACTTTCTTTCTCAAATGAATGTTAATGTAAAATAAGCAAAGACTTGTTCAATTAATGAGGTGCATAAGATTCATTTGAAGACTCGGTTCTACTTTCAGATTTTAAGTTTCGAAACTATCCTTCTCCCATTAGTCTTGAAATTTTGTATCCACGCGTTTGATAAAATTTTAAAAAATTATAATTCGCTTCCAATAATATTTAACATTAAGAGTAGTTATGATGCAATACATGATATTCAAAGAATTATTCATAAAGCATCCTCATAATCATTAATTTCCTTATCAAACCATGAATATTATCAATTATTGATTTCATTATCATCCTCCTCTACATTATATGTAAGTACCTACCAGACACTCATAGGCAAAATGACTAGTTTGATGAAACTTGAAGCATGCCTTTGAAAAAACTAAGAACCCAGATGGAAATGATTAACCCTAAGTGTCCTCATTAACTATAACATTACTACCTTCAAAGCAGCAGACTGAACTTAATTTCTTTAACAAAATGACCACAGAATATGTAATAACCCTTTAAAATAGAAAACTTAATGTTTACAGAAAATTCTATGCAAATTTAAAATCATTCAACAGTAATGAAACGTGTTAAGGAATGGCCTCACAATTGAAATTAGGTCTCAAACCTAGCCTAAACCTAAAGAGTGGTTTTACGATCATCAATGATATCCAAATGCATACAAATGCATACATGCCTGGCTCGAGGCCCGCCCTTATACGGCCTCGATTCAGAGAGCGACGCGGCCAAAAGCCCATTGGCGAGATGACGAAGCCGGTGACGGAGAAGAGGAGGGTTCGGCGGGCGCCTTCAAACACCGTTAGAGATATCGCGGATAGCATCTCTAAGCAATCAGCCGAAAAGAAGGATGTAAACCAGATTTTTGCTGAGAAGGTCAGAGACAACAAGCAACTAAAATCTAGATGGCCTATAATGCAAGAGACAAGGGTTGACTATTTTAGAGGAAAGGACTTCCCGGTGTTCTTGAGAGATCACCAGGAGGTTAATGAGATATTAGGGTTAGATAAGGAATTATACCGGGTCGAAGAGGATTGACAGATGAATTTATACAGTGAGTTGAGACTTTTATTCAAGTTACATCTCAACTATCTTCCTTTAAGTTCGATGGAATGTTTAGATGTCCATGTTCGAAGCACAAAAATCAAACATTCCTCAAACCCAATGATGCGAATATTGATTTATATCGTAGGGATTTGTTCCAGACTATTGGATTTGGACCTCAAATGGCGAGTACGAGCCACACAGAGATACTCATGCCGGTCCATCCACAGTTTTTGAAACATTTGATGAAGATCAAATGATTAGACCGTATGAAGAACTTATTTTTGATGTAGTAGGTCATACTTTAAGAGCTAGTGTGGAAGAGCCACCAAATGCAAAAACCAAAAAAATTCTTTGAGTTACTACATGTAGCTCAAAAATAAATTTGGGATGGTTGCAAAACTCATTCGAAATTATCGATTGCAGTGAGGATGATAAGTATTAAAATTGAATATAATATTTCTCATAATTGTTTCAATGACTTCATTGGTCTTCTTAAGGAAACTAATCAAACGGACAATTTAATTCCCTCATATTTGTTAAACGAAGAAATTAGTATCCAAGTTGGGTCTCACTGCTACAAAAATTGATTTATGTATCAATAGATATATGTTATACTACAAGGATGATGCAACAGAAGTTTATTGTCGCACCTGCAATGTGCCTCGTTTTAAGCCAAAGTCAGGAAAACAACGTCGTCAAAAGAAAGATGTTTCATATTCCCGTTTATTTTATTTACCGGACATTCCAAGACTTCAGCGGCTCTATGCATCAATGAGTTCAGCATGCCATATGAGATGGCATAAGGAGAAATTAACAAACAATGGTGTTCTTTACTTCTTTATCATCCATCAGATGCTGACGCGTGTAAACATTTTGATAGAGTACATGCTTTATTTGCTACTGAACCACGCAACATAAGATTGAGATAATGTGTCGATGG